TGGCTATGCCATAACACCACCACTTTAAGCTCAACACCCATAACTGGGTTGCTGTTAAGGAACTTAAATTAAGTTACCATAATGGGTATATATAGTAAATAATAGGGTTTCCCCAATATAGGAACTTAATTTAAGTTCCTTAACAGCAACCCAGTTAAAGCTGACCTTATGGCCTCCAGTCATGGGCATTGACCATGTGGAGCGTATGTCCCAGGCGGCCGAGGAGGCGGTGCCGCAGCCGCTTCTCCGCCACGAGGGCCTGCTAAAGGAGAACTTAAGGGATCCTTATTAAAGGGGCTTACTCGGGTTGTGTAGGGGAACTTAGGGGTCCCTTTACTTCAAGGTGTTTATATCGGGGTTGGGGGCTTGGGGTTTAGGGTTTGGGGGCTTAAGAGAATGGAGAAGCAACTGGAAAAGAAATATGCGGTTTAGGGTTTGGGATTTAGGGCTCAAGGCTTACGATCATTTGAGGCCTCTTTGAGGTAACATGCCCTCTCAACCCGTCACCTGGCTTTCTAGACACTAGACCTCTTTTCCATTCCTTCCTTCATCCCCTTAACTACCCTACATAGTAAATTCCATGTACTGCTGAATTCCTTCATTCCCTACCCTAAACTCTAAACCCTCAATCCTACCTCCTTTACCCTACGCCCTTAATCGCAGTTTCCATTTTCTTTTCCATTCAACCCCTACCCTCAACCTAAATACAGCAGTACTTTCCATTTCCTTTTCCATTCCTTCAACCCCTGCACCCCAAACTTAACCGTGGCGGTCCGTCCTTCGTACCCTCGTAAAAGTGGTGCGGCGAATTCACCTCGCAGGAGTTGTTTGCCAGACCCAGTTTAGGGTTCAGGGTTTAGGCTTTAGGGTTGTAGCATATGCCCATGTAGGGATTTCCAAAATTTTGGGCTTAGGGGTCCCTAAACTCTAATCAGGGAGTTGGCTCTATTTGGGTTATAGGGGCTATATTAGGATATTGCTGAAGATTATAGGGACTTGTGGGGATTTGCAAACATTAGGGGTTCCTTTATGGGGTCGGCATAAGCAAGATCATAATATGTGCCGGTCTCTGTTGAGGTCCACCTCTTCCCGTCTTTGTGAAAGCAAAAATCTAAGCCCTAAACCCCAACTCCTACATGTTCCTAAAGATTTTAACGGTAGGTTTTCGAGACACCCCTGTCGTACCTCGTAGACAATTCGCCGGGAAGGATTGACCATGTCCTTCGCGACCACGTCCATGAGGTAGGGACCTGATAGCAGAGCCATGACTGTGCTATTATGCGCAGTGGCTTGGAGGTACGTAGAAGGTCCCAAATCCTAAACCTCTAAGCCCCTAAACCATAAACCCATGAACCCTGAGCCCTAAACCCTGTCTGAGGCCGGTGCCAGTGACCACCCCATTCTCGTGCTCAATGCCCAGGTGGCTCAAACACCTGATCCACGATTTTCCCGAAAGAGGGGACCCCCAGATTCAGGGTCTAGGGTTTAGGGACGGTTTAGGGATAGGGCTTAGGCTTTTAAGTTTTAGGTTTTGGGACCCTTTGTTTGGGGTTTAGGTTGGGGCTTAGGAATTGGGACCTTTAGGCCCTTAGGTTTAGGGTTTAGGGTCCAGGTGTTGAGACCCTTAGGTTTTGGGTTTAGGATTTGGGAGCCCTGGCTCAAGGAGCCTAATCTCATTGAATTATGCACAGGGATTGCGCGGGGGGATCCTCATTAGGGATTACATGGGGAGTATTTCGGAAGTGCATATTGACTTGGAACATGGACCTATCATCTGAGTCACGCAGTATGTCGAGATAGAAAGAGAGGATCTAGGCATTTCAACTATTTGGGACCCTAAACTCCAAACACCAAAAGGAACCGTGGCTTCCAACTAATTTTCCATACAGAGCCTTATACCAAAACACCCTTACTACACCCTACAATGTAGGGATGGAGAAGAAGAAGGAAGGTTTTGGGTTTCAAGGCATAGAGCCACTCGCAGTGAATGCTTGGAGTCTTCCCCGCTGGGCTTGAAACTTTTAGCAATGCGGCTGCGCTTTCAAATGCCAGGCTCCAGAAGGTTTTTTTCAGCTCTAATAGCAATAGTTATCTTGGTATTATTAGGAAAACTTAAGCGCACCTTTACGGTGTAGCTGGGACTTCAAGCTGTAACTTCATGTTCCTTATTGGGCTGACAATACCAAAGACTCAAAAATGGTGTCCAAGTAATATACTACATATTCCCTATGCAGCCTAAGCCCTAAACCCTTAACCCTAAATCCTAAACCCTTTGGGGGACCCCTCAGCCCTAAACCCTTAACCTTGTAGGGGCCCCCTACCTTTTTGGGAACCCCATCCCCCAAGTGCCAAGGAGACGGCGCGCTCACGTCGCGGTGCATCTCGGAGCTAAAAACATCCTTGAACTTGCAGATTTTTGGCTTTTTGATACAGGGTTATATCGGGGTTATATAGGATATATAGGGAGTTATATAGGGATAATGGAAAATAAACTGGAAACTACTGTTTAGGGTTTGGGTTTCATTAGGGCTCAGGGTTAAGGGTTTAGTAGGGTTCAGGGTTCATACTTAAGGTTCATGGGGTTTGGAGTTTGGGGTTCATGTTCCAGTGCTTAAGCGGGCATGGGGGAGCAGACCTGTACTGGAAACCACTATATCCCCTATTATGGCACTTACAGATGCCTTCCACCAAGAACTTAAGCATCAGCAAATAAGCCGATGGCATTACGTGTGGTGCGGTATGGCGGAACTCACCCAGCTTCTTCGGGCTTGAGACCGGTCGTTGGAGTTTCGGCCTCCGGTTTAGGTGGCTTTACCGTTTTACGGTTGCAGGGTTGAAGATCCAAGGCTTGGGGCTTAGGTGGGTTTTTGCAGGGTGGGTTTTGCTCAGGTTGTTTCCGCAGGCCTTGACTTGCTGACCTCGGGATTTTTTGAACATACATCAGAGGGAAACTCTAAGGGATTTGGAAGCCCAGTAGAAATTATAATTTCAGCTAAATATTAGGATTCTAGAATTTCAGGAACCTTGTAGGAAATGCGTTTTTCTGGTTCAGCAAGCTCCGCACTGGCGAGGCTCCATTCATCACAGCGCAAAGCGCAATCATCGCAAGCACACAGAGGCCATGTCAAGAAGGCCGCTCCTTCCAGTTGAATACGTCATCATAATCTACACTACTCATAGTTGAGCTTCTAGTTCCGCATAGTTCCGTATAGATTTCCTGCCTAAACCCCTTATCCCCTGACCCTAGACCCCTCAAGCACAACAATGTAAACGGCTTTTGTGAGCGCATGTAGGCCGAGCCGCTCCAGCATTGTTGCTGGAGGTTGTCGCGGCCTGCAAGGCAGACTGTTACAGTGGTTCATCAAGGGGTATTTAGGGTTTAGGGATCAGGATATAGGGTTGAGGGATTCGGGTTTAGGGAGCTGATTCGTTTAGTAGGGGTGCAAACAGGGTACGGTAGTTTCTATAGGGACTCTGGGGGAAGGGAAAGTAATATGGAAACTACTGTTCAGGTTTAGGATTTACGGGCGTTATCCTAAGAACGCAAGTCAAGTGGAAGCTGCTATATGTAGGGTTATATAGGGGTTGGGAAGCGCCATACCACCGTTGATGGACAAGATCCTGCCTGATTCATCAATTTGATTCATCAACATGATCCTTCACATCCTTTACTACCATTTACTACCATTTATGTATAAGTTTTGGTTAAGCACCTTGCGCGCAGAAGCACGCTGCAACACCGCATTGCATCGACAGAGATGCAACTGCCTTCCGCAGGAGCGCAACAGAGAGCTCTTGGCGGTCATCGCCTGCACAGCTTGGATCACACAACCAAATCTCACGCCTCCCCGTGTAGTTGTGATGCTCTCGCTTGCTGGAGCAAAAACTGCTTGCAACATTGAACATTGGGGACCCTCCGACTCTGGCCCTGAACCTGGGTCTCTTTACCTTTGCAGGCAAAATACCTAATCCTTGAACCTTTGATGCCCTGCCACAACGCTTCACTTGGCAAAAGCCTCTGGGACCATCTGGCGCCACAGTTGTTGGCATCACTACCTGCCACACGTGGTCGGGAGAGGCCAGCATGTCTCCCCTACCAGGAGGGATGGTGCAAATCTGAGCAGTTCATCACCTTCATCTATCGCGCGGCTCTGGACCCCGAATCTATAGTAAGCTTGACGAGAGCTGCACTGTTCAGGCTACAACTGCTTCCCATGTCAAATTTGGGAGTTCCTCAGAATGGCCCCTGTAATTCTTCTTCAGGACCCCTTTAATCCCCCATAGAACCCACGTATGATAGTATGCCTCTAAGGTCCCTAGGCTTCCTGGTCGTTAGCAGGGAATAAGGGAAGATATTACATAGGGATAGTTTCCCTTGTTCCCTACGAGCCCCCAGCCAGTAAGTAGAGCACAGCTTTTCTCAGACACCCAAATTGCGGCCAGCTGGCAGAACCATACTTGTCGAAGTCCGTTTGTGCGCGCACCTGACACTAGGGTTTAGGGCTTTAGGGTCTAGGATCTAGGGGCTGAGGGTTTTAGGGTATAGGGTTTAGGGGTTTAGGCGTTTAGGGCTTCAGCATCAAGTTCAAGCATTCATTCAATGAGCAACTGTCTCAAGCAACAGCAATATACCCGCCCGCCCATTGGGTCCCACAACATTAATTAAGAAAACATCGTAAATCATTCCATTAATCCTGAAACCAAAGTCCTAAATACCAACCGTTGAGCCAAATCTGAAACCGAACCCTAAGTCCCGAACCCTAAACCTAAGGCCGGAACCCTAATGCCCACTAATTTTGGCTAATTTGAAAGTTTTTGGCCAATGCCCGCTAATCTTTGGCCAATGCCCACTATTTTTTGGACAATACCCACTAATTTTTGGACAATGCCCAATGAGTTGCCCACTTGCCAGAGGTCAAAAACCCTTGGGCATTAGTCAAAAACCCTTGGGCATTAGTCAAAAACCCTTGGGCATTGGCCAAAATAATCATGGGCATTGGCCGAGATACCGAAGTGGCCAATGCCCACTTATCGTTTGGCCGATGTCCACTAATCTATGCACCACAGGGCTCATGGTCTAGGGGTTAAAGGGTTCATGGTTTAGGGTCTGGTGTTTGGGGTTTAGGGTTGGAGGGTCAGAGGGACTTAGTAAGTAGGTTAAACATAAGGATAACTGGGGTTATTTTATGGTGTATAAGAGTTATACTTACGCCTAATAAGTCTTCCTCATCCTCCAAGCAGGGTGTCGGGCTTCTGGCTTGGGGTTTCGGATTCCAGGTTTAAGGTTTAGTGCTTAAGGTTTGAGATTTTGGGTTCCACGTGATTCCTTCAACAGGGATTGAAACATTGAGAAATCTGCAAAACAGGGGATCTTTATGGAGGGAACCTTTCAGCACGTTGCCCTTTTGATAGAAAAGCCCTATGTAAGCCCTACATATAGCACCTATATAAACCCCTACCATGCAACCCCTAAACCCTTACACCCTTACATCCTTAAACCTTAAGCCCTACAACCTAAGCCCTAAGTCCCCTCCTCAAGTGGCCCGTTAAGTCATTGGGGAAACCCTATTATTTACTATATATACCCATTATGGTAACCCTAAACCCTATATAACCCCATTATAGTAGTTTCCATTTTCTTTTCCATTTATCCTCTATAAAACCCCTATACACCCCTTCTATAACCCCTATAATCCCTATAGTTTCCATTTTCTTTTCCATTATAACCCCATTATAGTAGTTTCCATTGTCTTTTCCATTTATCCCCTATAAAACCCTATATAATCCCTATAGTTTCCATTTTCTTTTCCATTATAACCCCATTATAGTAGTT